ATCGAATTTAGATTTATTTATCAATAATAAACTAAATTATAATTTATAATTCTGCACATTTCACATTTTGCTTAAACAAATGATTTATGAAAACCACAATGAAAAGTGTCTACTCGACAGCTTAGACGATTATTATTATTATTTATGTTTTATAATTTCCTAGTGCCTCGTTTGTTTGAATTATTAGAATGCACATTAAGAAATCACGGCGAGAATTTATGTCAATATGGAGATGAGTTTTGAAATATAAATTCTAGTATTGGGTATAAGTGTATAACGTTTTTGCACAAGGTTAGGATTTTTTTTCTCTCTTTCTCAAAACGGCTCTCAATACAGCCTTGTTCTCGGCCCGGCATCTCGCTTTATTGGAGGCCACGCGTTGTTCATGGATGTAGGAATAGGAAATCCTTGATCTTGTGTTTGCCACGCAAAACTACCGTGCACAGCCTTATTAAATGTCGTCGCCCATACCAGCTGGTTCGCTCCTCCGAATTTCTCGCTAATTGGCTCTGAAACACCGCAAGAAGGATCTTCGCGAATCCTTATTTTCCCACCTCAGCGTTTGCCTACGGATTACATCGCGAATATACCGTTCACTTCCGCGTAAGAGTTTGTCTGGACTGTGTAGTGGAGTATACCTAACTGTTTTAGAGTGTGCGTGATTGTTATCACGCGCTCGTGCGATTTTCTCTGCGACTAGTGGTTACCAAAATACGTTTACGCGTCTTAATTTCTAATTGTGACCACCATCCACGAAAATAAAACAAGAAAAAAAACCAATTGGACAAACATTTTTAAGAATTATTATTTTTCAACAAATAACGCGGGTTTATCACGTATAAAAGATTTTAACGGTCGTGTACATTGACTCGGATGTTTTCGAATCACTCAAAAGACAAAACAAAACAATTTATTAATTAACTTCACAATAATCACATACAATATTATATTTTATTGTACTGGTTTATCGTTATAGCAAATAAAATGTTTATAATTTCAACTCTGTATGGTTTAGTTATTATATAAAAATCGGCCATTTAGCATTTAATTCATTAACCATGGTCCATGAGTATTTGAACATTTAAAACACATATAAATATGACTAGATTCCATAACAGCAGTCTTAAGTAAAATCTGAGGATGTTTTATATCTATAAGAGGAAATATTTTAAATTGTAGAACGTACACAATACGATACATGTATTGCGATTTTTAGTCTTGTAAGTGCTATAATAATTAATATCCACTATTAGTGTAACAGGTGATTACTGATTTGTTGCTAAAGCTCAAAACAGTAAAGTAGATGCGGTATTCTTGTTGAAAACAAATGGAATTTATTATTCACTGCATTATTGGGTATTCGGTCGATACTGCACAGACATACAATTAATACAAGACTATACCTTACGTACAACCTACCTATATAAATTGTAAATGTCTAATATTTGTAATACAAATGGTGGATTTATAATAATAAATATAGAAATTATTGATGTGTAATCCCAAAAGACCACGTGGTTATACTGATGTTTTTTTAGATTTTATTATTACATTATTCTAGTTTCTTTCACTTTCACGTACGAAAAACATTCGCGCGTGCTAAACCGTCTTAGGTTTATAAATAAAACAAATACGATGTTAATATATATTATAATAATTATACGAACACTTCGTGGACCATAGTGAGTATAAGGTACATACCAATATCTATATATTGGCAATGTAAATTTTCAATTAACTCGGCTTAAAACCGGATGTGTTTCAAATGCATTCAGAGGGTGTCCAAATTGTTGGTAAACGAGATATGCGTAAAGAGGTTTCTCTAAAAACGGTACACCAAAGGAAAGGCGAACTGGTCTAACGAGATATCGTGTTTGCATTTCGCAGTAGAGAGTGCAAGTATGTCCAGCTGAACATGTCGTGACGATTTGCCCACGTTATTTAGCCGCACACCGAACATAACTAAAAAATATAAAAATAATATTGAGCATATGACTCTTAAAGCACAACTGAAAAGTATGAGTTAAGACAGAAATACGGTATAATATACATTATATACCTATATAGAGGTATACTTCTGCAGTATAATAATATGCGGATACCCGCGACTTACAGACTATCTATTGTTTCCGTATGTTTTTATGATTCTTTAGAAAAAATTCGCTCGTTTTTGGAATACGTTCCAATACAGCTTGACAAAGCTATAATATTATCTGTAGTATTTTTATAGTTTATTATATTTTACAAGGACTATTGGCTATTTTACCTACACGTCGCTAACAGAAGATACATAAAAACTAGTTAAACAACCGTCAACACCATATGCGATTTGACATTAAGACATAAACAAAACAAAACATGGTGGACAAAAATAAACACCATACAAAATTCAATGTAGTAATTATTATTATTATGTATTCCCATAAACTGGAATTGTAAATTCGTTTAACGGTCCCCACGCCATTCTTTCGGCGATACGTTTACCACCGGTTTTAACTTGTTCAATTTGTAAGAGGAAAAATATAATTTCACTTTTTAAATAATACAAACATTTTTAATTATCAGATTGACGAAGCAAAAATAATGATTGCTACACATTGCTAAATGTTATAACAATTAAAAATCATATCATATTTATTTTGATAAGTGATAACGGTTATTACTTTTTATTAAATAATTATTAATATATTAAACGTGTTCTAATTTCTTTCAAACTTAATTACTTAATAAATTCTATCATTCCATGTAATATATTATGTGTGTGTATGTGTGTGTACAGGAAACTATTGAGCTATTGTAGTAATTGAGTCATGTATATTAATATATTGATGTAGGTAATAATGTTAAAATTTAAAATCGATTAGATATTTTATCGTTTATCCAAATCAAAACATTATTAGTACACTACTATGTGGTACTCTGACAATCTGGTTAACTTTAACTATAAAAATATTTCATGATTATAGGTATTATTATTTATAAGTAATAAAATGTCTTGTATAAATGAAACTGTTTCAACGTATCATAACATAATATTGCGTTATTTAATTTATTGGCATAAAGTTGTTGAATGAATGTGCGTAAAACTACTATAATATACTACTACCGATAAAGTCATACTAAAGTCAATATAAACGTAAATCATATTTGTCGAATTTTCCATTGAACTTTGATATACTTACATATATTTCATTTGCATTATAAAATATAATTGTTGTTGCTAATATATTATAATAATAGGGTGATTTTGCCTCTCAACATTTTTCGTTATTAAAAATATTATATTCTTAAACGTTATTATTTCTTAATTTTTTTCTTTTCTGAGTAACCATACCTATATATTTTTAATTTAATACTCCAAAGCAGAATATTCTTCTGAGAATTTTTAAGATAACAATTACATTTTGATGGAGTTTATTTGATTAGTTACAAGTTTTTGAAATTTAGACATTAAGTAGAGTAGAGGGCCACAGGATACTTAATAATGATAACTACTCGATTGAAATTTGAATTTTATCCATCGAAATTTTCAAAACAATATTTTGCTTAGGAACACAAAACATAGGTACTTTTTCAAAAACCTAATACTTTTTGTAATATTGAGAGTTAACAGTTAAAAGAATCATCATGTAGGCACTATTTATTTTAAATCCGAAACTGTGGTTAATTATTTTACTTAATTTTTTATTTGTCACTATAGGTAAGTAATGTATTATAATAATATAAACTTCACATTTGAATAGGTTTACCTATATTACCTAGTTTTTAAACCTTCGTATCTGTGTAATTGTATAATAAATAATAGCTATATATTTTATATATATATTATACCTATATTGGTATATAGCATACTATGGAACTGAAATTAGTATTATTTTATAATGGTTAAAAATGTATTGCATGCATGAAAATATAAAAATTGTTAGGATTATAGAAGATTATTGATTTTTAGTCCATTTTAATTTAATAAATAGTTGTTATGTAAACGTGAAGAGTATATTTATTAACATTTATTAATGTAGCTACTACCTACTATATACTTAAGTAGTTAAGTATGATTATTTAAAAAAATAATTAATTTTATTAGATGGTTAATTAATATTATTTAGAGACACATTTTTAAGAAAAAAATAGATAACTCTGTGTCTCTGTCCTCGAACTACGAAGTGTGGTTATGATTGTAATAAGTAATAATTTTTCCGATATTCATTTTATCGTATAGTATTTTAATGGTGTCTGCCATCACTATACTGCAAGAAATGTTGGCTATATTGCTATAATGTATACTGCAGCTCACACAATATTATCAACCCAACGGAAACAATATCGTATATTAAATTGGACACAATAGCATCGACGGCCAATCGAAATTCAAATTGTAGATTAAGAAAGGAGTAGTCCGGATGGTCGACAAATGTAAATTTGGGACCGATTTATATTATGTACATAATATATACATTATTTCTTACATATTATTATTATCATCATCATCGTTATTATTATTTATGAGAAGCAGATAAGAAACGAAATTGATATGATAATGTCTGGTGAGAAGCCGAGTGGAGGGGAGTACCGTGGTTCCGCAGTTGTGGGGGACCGTGCGTTGCGAGCGCCAAGACGGTACCGGCGGCGTCGGGACTGCCAGTCAGCGCCGGTGCTGCGTGCCGAGATCAGTTCCCCCGAGAACACGCGTGCCCCCGTCGGTAGTCGAAGCACAGTAAAGCTTAAACGTTTCCAGAAAAATTAAACAAAAGACGATTTCATTTTTGATGTTATTTTATTTTTTCGAAATTTGTTTTTAAGCCGTTTTACGTGATCATGCTGTGATTGGACGTTCGAATTCCGACGGATTTTTTTTACGGATATTGAGAAATTATTGTTTTAAGTCTCGACAAAGCTGCCCTCCTTGTCCACCGAAATATATTGTACTGTTTTTGCGCTCGTAATTTTTTTTTTCGATTTTTTTTTTTTATTATTTCGCGTATATTAATAAACCAAAAATGTACGAAGCAAAGTGTATTGTAATGGACTACCAGCACCACAATGCTCAACTGCAGGCGCAGACACAGCAACACCTACAGCAACTCCAATCGTTAGCTCCGGATTCGACCAGATGGAATCAGTACCAACAGTTTTGGCGACATCAGATGCTAATGAATGGTATTAAATGTTTTATACGAATGATTATTATGTATTATGTTACGCGTTTTCTACAACTGCTGGACTGGTGTTTCGTTTCAATTCGCAATGTTTATTCTATACCGTATATACCTACGCACGAATAATAAACAACACGGTTTAACATATACGATTCGTTTCTGAATTCGTGATTTTCAATTATTATAAGTAACGTCCCAATGTATAATAATATACATATGGTCTTATTCTATACTTAATCGTTGGAATATTTAATATTAAAAATCACTATTTGAGTATATTTTATAAAAAAAAAAAAATAACAAATAACTGATTTAATGATACATTTTAACGTACTCGTGTAAAGTACTAAGTCATAGTTCAATGTATATCTTACTCTGTTTGTTTAAATGTATAAAATGTAACGTAAGAACTAATTTATTTTCTTCCTAAATATGAAGCATATTTTTAAGCATTTTTATCACAGAAAAGAGAAAAATAAAGTTAATTCCAATAATGTTCAATTAATGATAATTAAAATATATTATAGTATATCCATATAACCATATTGATGGATAAGTTTTGTATGGTCACGTATACAACATTTCAAACCTCAAGGTGACATTTTTAAGGGTTAAACATAAAAAATTTACTAAAGGTCGACAGTGCGATAAGTTATCGTTTGCGTAACAAAAAAATATTTTTGTTGGTGTACGATTTGATTATTTATCTATCAGCAAATATAGATATTTTTTTTCATTTTGCTGGTAACATTAGGTAACGCATCAAATGTACGTTTTTTTGTATATTTTTTTTCCAAAGCTATAATCCAATAATGTTATCATCGTAATACCTCTGAAAAAATTAAATCATTATAACAACATACTAATTACAACATACATTACATTATAAACTACATTGCACGTATACTAGAAAATAAAAAAAAAACGAAAAAGAACTAGTGAGTTTCTTTCGTAATGAAATGAAACAGATGATAATATTGTCTCGTCACATTTTGAATACCCAAAAGTGAAATGTCTGCAGAGACGACCTTGAAAGAGACGCACACCACTTTCTATTCGATTCTCGAGCGCACACGTGATTAAGCTTTCATAATGAACAACAATACATTTGGGTCATTACAAATGATTTTCTTCTCTTCTGCAACCCCTACTCACTGTGTTATTTATTGTACGTCCGTGTACACCGTACAGGCAATAATATATTAATAGCATTGTACGTCGCGACAAATGTATTGAGATTCAAGTGAATATTATCCATGAACGAACGCGAGCAGTACATTTCCCGCTGCAACTGAACTGAATATATGAAAGTAAACACGTCTTATTCACTATTTGTGTAGGTACACTTATCGCCTTAAAAACGAATAAATAGTAACGTACAGAGTGTCATATTATCTCGGCTAACGAAATTTATTGTAATTTATCTTTGAATTACATTTACTGAAGTTTCTAATCCGTTGGGTGTTTACATTGTTCAAGATTATTAAATAGATATCACTTGTGATCATAAAAAAAAAGAATATAGTAATAACAATAAGCACTTAATGCGTTTGCCATGTTAATGTAATAAAACATAATTTTTTTTTCACATTTCCTGCGTAAAAATATTCACTCCTTCTATGTGACACGTGCAGCTGTTAGTTTATTTGTTCTAAATCCGTTGGACTTTCTGCCGACAATTATTCCACGATGTGCCATTTAACAGAAAATATACATATACACACGGTATATGCACGCACTTTCAATTTCAATGGTCAGCTAATTACTTTTGTATAATACATAATATGCACATGAGAACGTCCTTAACGAATCTTAATGAGTGAAATTCGAAAGTTTTATAATCGTCATTAATGATTGCAGGGATTTTAGGACGTTAATCAATTTATTTATTATTACACAATATACATTTTATGATGTACGCGCACGCGTTATTCTTTCGATGTGTTTTTTATTCATATGCTTTTCACACCTTTGTCTGGCCAATAAATGAAAACAGAAAGCGATATTGAACACTGCAGCGACAACAAAAGCAAACCTATTACCTATATAATATAATATATCCGCTCACGTCAGAACGCGTATAGAATAAACACTGTAATGTATTTAATATATATCTGTATGTATGTGTGTGTGTGTGTGTTCGTGTATTGATGAGTGTACACCTATGATATTTTTGATTTTTTTCCTCATGGAAACTCGTACGAAACTTTGTTTCAAGGAAGACGATAGTATTATATTATTATTATCAATAAGAGTTTGGAGACTTTAACGACAGACCACAAATGCGAAAATCTGGTTGTAAAGTATATTATTATGCGGTTTTTTTTATATTTATAGTCACGTGCAAAAATAACGTTAAATTCGAACAGTACTCCGCTATAGTCGTTTATACTGCACGCCGAGGAGCCAGCCGACTATATTATCCACTTTCACTTGCGCGCCGCTCCGTTATTTCCGGGGTAGCCTTGTTCGACCGGTTAGCGCCTTAAAGAAAGAAAGAAGAAAAAACAAATCAACGACGTGGGCATAGAATACATTTTTTTTTTCATTTCGTTTGTTTTCTCAAGATCGATATTACTGGAATAGAAATTATAAATTACTATTCGACGATAGTGTACGACGCATATGTAAACACGAAGATATTAAAATAATATAATATTATATTATTATATTTTCCGTTGTAGTACTATAATATAGGTAGGTACGCATATTGTGTGTGATTTTTCTCTTATTACCTATATTATTTAACGCATTCATCGAAAGTGTATTGAAACAACTGATGTACAACACATCTTTTATAGTTAACTTATTAAATAGGTACCTACATTGAAATTAATACTGACAAATTTAAATATTATATCTATATGTACCTAGTATTTTGACTATTGGCAACATAAAAGTGTGCTGCAGAAAGATGCTCGAATAACTCAAAGCATATTTTAGTAAAAATCTATATAGTTAATCTATTCGATAATAATAATATCATGTATACCTATGGATTTCGTTTTGAACTTCTGACGTCAATTATTTTTTAAATTTTCGAACGTGCTGCAGTCATTAAATTAAGTTTTGTTACAAATCTCGAACGTAATATTTAAAGGCGCTTCTGTAATACTCGCCTGCCGATATGTATATAGATGGCAAAATAATCATCTATATTTGTCGGTTTATTATATACGTAGCTATATGTACATATATTACAATATCGGGATAACTCTGCACGCGCGGGCAGCGTGAAATAATATTTATAGCTGCCCCGGTGGTGTAGTATAATAATATTATGCCTATTATACGATTTCCCCTGTCGTGGCCAACACGCAAACGCAGTCACTTTTTAATAATAATAAAAATAATACACTTAAAATATTCGTCTCTCTCGACTACGTCGTCATAATATACGTCGAGATTCGATCGTGCCCGTGCGTAGACGCGTACATATACTTATTATAATATTATGTGTATGCATATACATTTACTTGGAAATGGCCGCCCACCACGGAGACCTGCAGCACCGTCTGTAATATTGACAATTCCGTCACCGCAGAAGTGAAAGTGTTTTTATTAATTTTTTTTTCGTCTATAAATAATATGTGTATTTTATATATTTCGTTTATGCACACGCGCCGGTCCGTCCGTTAGCGTATTTACGCACACACACGCACACGCACACCGCTAAAATATCATATTATTAGTGTATACATCGTATCCCCTCGGACGTCCGCTCGTTAATCGGCGCGTATACGAAAACTCTCACTTTTTTCGTTTTATCTATGTGCCCACGCGCGAATCCCACCGTCCAGCGGACAGTTTGGTCCGGTCGGGATAAATGATAACGGTACTAAATAAAAAATAATAATATTTATGACTATAAAAATTGTCGGAGGGAACTTTCCGGTGAGGTGGGCTGGCTGGCTGGCGGGCGGGCGGGTGGTTGAGTAATATCTATTAAAACGCGCAAATAATAACGGGACGCGCGTTTTTTAATCGGTCGACAATGGAACGAGGGGAAGGTGACGGAGAAAGACGTTCGCTCGGTCGGTCTTGGTACGTTGGTCACACTACCGCACGCGGTGGTGTGGCGCGACGGGTGAAAGTGAGATGGGAACCACTTTCGCCGGGAAATACCCGCTTGACGACGCCGACGCAACCGGTGTCCTTCCGGAATCCACGCCGCCGCCTTGCGTGATTCGTTTTTATTTTTTCCAATCTCCTACCGAGCCCGGAATCGTTATTAACAGTATTTTTTTTCACTGCCGTCTGCAAATAGAAAACACAACGGTAAAATAATTGCCACACGAACCTCCAGACAACCATAGGCCGCGACCGACGTTATAATACCATGATAAATATATACCTATACTCTCGTTCTCTACTTTGTATGTGCATTGTACATACTACGGTCACAATATTTTTGAAATACCCTTTATTGTACGAAAGTCTAACTTGTGGCGATTGGTTTTTGACACTTTTTGGAAAATTTAAATACATTTGTGCTTTGTACACTTTGAATTTGTACCGTACCATCGCTGAAATAGGTGCCGGGCTTAATGTTAAGTACGATTTTCTGCTGATATAATATTGTCTTATTGAAAAGTACTGTAATGTAATAATAAGTGTACCCCTTACCAAATTAAAAATATAGGTATGTTACCAAAAATATTAATTTTTTTTAAAAAATAATTAGTTCGATTAATTTGGTTCAAATATTGGGATGTGCCAAAGTTGTTCCCCTGACAAATAATATTCTAATTTGTTATTTGCGCCAGTGTCAATGTTAGCTTCTTATTAATACCGTAATTTAACACACATTATAAATTATTGCAGTGTCATAAATAAAAGGATAAGAACATCTAATTTTCACAGAAGGTGGCTAAAACATTTTGTTTTTACGGTATATTTGTAAATATCTGGTGACCACCCTTGCCGATAATATTATATTTTATATGATTGTTTTGTGGTCGTTTGAAGCTTGTTCAACAACCGGACAATATTGCAGAGTTATTGTGCCATTAAATTGTACATAATATTACATTGTAGTGCTCAATTCGAATTATTTATTTATTTTGATGTAATTAAAACTAATATACCTATTTTATTGTTATTAACGACGTATTTATTTTGGTATTTTAACGACCAATACGTTTACACTTAAAACTACACACGCGATAACAATAGTTAATAAGTAATAAGTAATAACTAATGAGTAATGTCGTGCTTTACCCTAATAGGTATAAGATATGTTGACGACTTGACATGTACTCGTGTAGACAGACTTTTGTCCGAAATTGTTTGATACTCAAATCCTATATTTCTATCCATATACTAAAATAATAATAAAAAAACAATTATTAATAATAGGTAAACTGACTACCTTACTAGAATGAGATTATTCATACTTGTATAGTTTTTTCTGTTATCTAAAATTTGTCGGATAATAGTTAATATTGTAATCTTAAGCATATGATTTTGATTCCAAAATATTAGGCTTGACATTTTTTATAAAATAATCTACTACGAAGAAAAAAAATTGACTAAAAAACGAATCAGCCATGTACCGAACCTGGTGTTGATAAACTACTAATGAGTGAAACTATATTCGTCATCCAAATTCCTGACGAATTCGATATTTTGCGTTACAAGTAGTAAATACTCTGTTCGTCATTTATGATTTCAAACTGGTTTTGGATTTTTTTCGAATCGAAAAAAAAATATGCGAGAAAGCCAAAAACCCATTGTTGACGGGCCAACGGATAATTTTATACTTCCAGTTAACGCGAAAAAAAATGTTAAAAAAATATTTATAATGATGATAATAGTAGCTATGTAGTTAGGTTCTTCGGGCCGAACGACTTGCTCTTCTGCAGACGTTGCGCAATCGGAATAATAATAATAATAATAATAATATTATATATCCGGACTCTCGAGCAGCACTTTCACTTTGCTCAAACTGCTGCCGCCGCCGACGTAGTCTGCGAGCACGGCATATAATCACATTATACTATAATAATATAATAATGCACGCCGGTATAACGCTACTATTAATGAACACTGCGAATCAGATAAAAAAAAAAACGTAATACGTGTTTGCGGACGATATATTTTTCTGAAGAAACGCGCCTGACCGTTTCCGAACGGCTTTATCTAGACGGATTATCAGCAAATAATATATATATAAGACAAATTAATGGAATTTGAATTTTCACACACGTTTTGACGCGATAATCTCAAAATTTTGCGCATACGCATCGGTTCGAACGAAATCTACTTTGAATAGAAAGTTTAGAATGGCCCGTGGGATATAATATTAAAAACCGAATAATAAACGAGTAAACGTGTAACGGTTGAAATTATATTTTATGAAATGTATTATTATCGTTTGTATAATATTATTAATTATTATGTATACACTTATAATATTATATATTCACCGTTACAAACGGCACTTTTGAGACATTTTCATACACCGCTGTTATTAATTGGACCCTTTAAAAAGTACTAAACGACCAATTTTGCTTCAATCGACTTATCCTGCAGAATATATTATTATGTTATTCCGTTACATATTATTATTATCATAATCTAAACTAGTTTTTAATATTATATTTTAGTTTATCGCTTTTAATATACCTACGCATGTCAATTTCGTAAAATGGAAATTATTTTTATAATTTTGAATGTTATCAGACCTATCTAGCTAATCTTATTAACATTTTTTTATATTATGCGCGTAAGTTGCGACGAATTTTTTTTCGTTTATCAAAAAAATTGAAAGCCAGTGCACCATTTCTGCAAAATTGTGCATTCCTTATATGATAGCTATTTAGGTACAATATATTTTAACATTGCCGCTATTGTCTATGTAAGTAATTAGTAATTACCGAGTAAATAAAACACGGTGATCTACAACCATTTTTACTATAATGAATAGAAATTATTAATGAATATTAGATATTGTATTTTAATAATAATAATTAATATTGCACACCACAATCTTTCAACACCCACCTACAAGGCCTGCACTGGTCAATGATGTTAAAAAATGATTGATAAATCCATCGTCTACCTTTGTAGGTAAATATTAAAAGAGTTTAATTTATACATCAAATTGAAACAAAATAATCGAATAAATTTATTATGTGGTTAGATAATTATGATAATTTATGTATAATAAAATCATTCATCTATCAGTAATACGTCGAATCTATTTAGTTATACAGTCATCTCAGTCATAGTTCAACACTGATAAAATATAAAGTAATGCATAATTTCTGAATAAACCATTTTTTGTACATAGATGGAGTCTGAATAATGATTATCTATATTTGATATTATTTTGTACACATAATTATTATATTATTAGGCATTTAGGCCGTGTATAATTATTACGATATAAATGTGTATAATAATAAAACACCATCAAACGAATTAGTGTATTAACCAAATAAATAATTGTAGATAGTTAAAAGTGATATCATTAGTGGTATTGGGGGGTTACGTCTTAAATTTTTTTTTATAGCGTATACACTAAGTAAACTAATATTGTATATATTATATTATAAGTAAAATATGTATGCAATATAAGCTATTAGGTTACGAAAATAATACTCATGTACAATTTCGTATTCAAGTGTACTGATAGGTGAATATATAATATAGTCGCAAGTCGGCGAGCACAGAAATAAAAGATAATGAATACTTCACAGTATTATAGTTTATTGTATCTCAACATTTTCCTTTACACTATATCAACTTAAAGTGAATAATGCATAATTTCTCCAGCAATAAACGTCCGAGTATTGGGAAAACACGAGTGGGTACACTGGGGTGCAAATACTCGTTCATACATCGGATTAAACTCGAATTATACACACACATAATACAATATATTTATCTATACACCGGGTGTCAGTGTTTCGATAGAGGGAGGAAGAGAAAAAGAGACAGACGAATCGGACAAGCGCAGATTGATGTCTGAGAGATGAAGACGAAAGTGAAAACAAATCGTAATGGAAGCTAGAACGTGTCAAATCTGTTACGGCTTCTTACTTCCTGCATTACGAAACGATCGCAACTGTAAAATATGTACAGGTATAATACCTACTCTTCTCTGGTATCACGGTAGCGGTGCAATTATCAGACCGGTAAATGTAGGTTTGTTCGCCGTCTCTCTTTGGTTCAGTGTATTTTTTCGCACAATTGTACCTATCTTATTGGTATATATACACGTATAATAATCTATACGCCTTATTATTATTTCATTGTACCAAAACCAAAGCGCGTGTGTCTTGTTAACATTTTTTATTTTTTTTTTATGCAAGAACGTTTTTGATGGTTCGGCCTGCGGTCGTTAGTGGTTTTTAATCATTCATTTTCTTTTTTTTTTAATCGACAAGGACGGTGTTTTTTTTTTTAGATTTTGTTATCTTATGATAAAAAGAAACAAATACACACATACATTATATTATACATTATACAAACTCTAAATAACCAAACTAATCTCGAACAGAAAAAAAACGAATCATCTAAAATATGTATTCAAGATTAAAGTATGTATATACCTACTTGACACTACGCTGCTGTAAATTGCACGCGAATCTGAGCAACGATAATTCCTGTATAATATCTACACTGAACATTAAATGTATAATATTATGGTAAAAAAAAAAAAAACTCTTTTAGAACCCCCGCGTAGATTCAAGCGTCGACTGTAATCCGTATTTTGCAACGGTATTCGCTAACGAAGCAAAAAATATGGTAAAAAGCGAATCGAACAGCATAAAATATAATTCGATATAAAATAACAATACTGTCGTCGTTTAATTGCGTCGAATAAGTAGGTACGGTGTATAGCCTTGAGTGGTATCCATCATATTGCTGATATGGTCGTTTGTAATGATATAAATCCATTTACGGCATTTCCTATATACTAATATAATATACATTATATCTATCGGACTACTCTATATATTCAAAGTTGTCCGATAAGTATATTATAACTTCGTGGATTCCATACATAAACTATAGATTCAAAGTTTTTTCCCGTATCGCATGACAATATATTATACAGAAGATAGAAGAAAATGACAAAAATCAATGTCTATAAATCGGTTTTAGAAGTCTAAACCATGAGCTGATTAATGAATTTCAATGACAGAACTAATGTGTTTTCATTGTGTTTGCACGAACCGTTTCCTGGAACAAGTTTCAGAAAGTCGACAAATATTCTCATCTTACAAAATATCTCGTTTATTCATTCGTTTATAAAAGATGGCATACGCAATACGTACTTGATAGTTATATAGTTAATATATAGTTTCAAACGGGGGTATACCTACCCAAATCTCGCTAATTCGTACAGTTTTTTTTTTATATTGTATTGATATCTGCTGCGTTTTTGATTGTCAACTCGAAGTTACCTTGGATTACGCCGAAGGCCAATTCCTACACCGTTGTGATCCAAATATTGCGTATTTTTCATTAACTATTGTGTTCGAAAACGTCATTAATTAATCATCAATTAAGCTTTCTTATAAAATTAGACAATTAATATTATTTTATGCTGCTGCTAACGAGATTTTCACGGGGAATTTGATTCGTTTTCCAGGAAAAGCTTGTGGCGTACCTAGAGATGGCAATCCTGATAAAAAAGAAGAAAATGAGCTTTTGTGGACTAACGTCGTAGAATCTCAGTCAGCGTTTCTGGGACCGAATCTATGGGACAACAAAACCATACCATACGACAATGACCTTAAGGTAATTATTTTGTCTATATAATAATTTATAAATATGTATATCGTTTATATTCCACGACCGAACAGTAATCCTATAACCGCAGGCTGCAGCAGTGGCTAAACGAATTTAAGAAATTTCCGATGAGCCAACTTATAATATAATGTTTATTCACCTACCGTGAGCTTTAAATCTTAAAAAATTAAGCTTAAAGCACAATTTTACTCATCAGTTCGTTTCGCCATCATACACGCACCTACGTAATATTATATTAAAAGTGAGCAAGTATAAGTCAAGCTCTAGTCAAGAACGTTAAGCTCTATATAAGTTAATAGCTAACAAACTATATTTTTACTCTAAAACTTTAAAGTCAATACGGATAAAAGTATCACTTAAAAATAAGTTAATAATTTTTTTTTAACTATCACCTGGATATTATAATAACTGTGCTGCAACTTAAAACAATTTTAACATTTATTGTTTTAAATAATAACTAAACATTTTGTTACACTAATTCCTTGTTATTACACATTATAACTGCACGTCTGCACCTATATTAGTGTAGGCAATCACGCATTTGTATGAACTGAATTATTAAATCAAGGAACATGTATTTTTTACAAATGAACTGGATAAAGCTACATTTTTACAGGGATTTGTTTTAACTAGGTCGTAGGTACCTATAGATAAGTTAAAAGTAAAAAATTAAATTAATAACAAACATAATATTTGTACTGGGCGGCCCACCGTGGTAATTTCAAGTTTTCTCGTGCTGGTGAATCGGGAAAACTGGAAAACACAGTGGACCATCCTGTGTAAGGTACACTGTACCTACATAACGTAGTGACGTACTATGCCTATATAATAATATTATTATTATTATTATTAATTGTGCCCAAATCTAACCTCGTGACGCGTTCGGTTTCAGTATTGCGACCTCGACGAATTCCTGTCCGAAAACGGATTGCCGGTGGAAGGCGACCACCAGAACGGAACGACCGCGGGCAACGTTAACCCGGGCACCATAGTGGCGGTCGGCCACCAGGGTGGCGCACTCATGCCGGGGGCCAACAATCGCCTGTCCTCGCCGCCGCCGCCGCCGCCTTCCATACACCCGATACAACACTTGCAGACAAACGGTGTGGGCGTCATACTGACCAAGCGCGAACCGTCTCCGTCGCCCAGCGAACCGCTCAGCCCGATCACCATAAACCCGGCGTCACCAGCAGATTCAAGTGAGTTTCGTCTAGAAAATTTATACTTATTATTATTCTGATCATAATCGCGTCGTCGTGAGTGCGACGGGACACGAAAAAAAATTAGTCAAACTATAAAAAATCGGACCTTTGATACGGTGACAAAACGTTACGATGTACACCTATCTTATACCAATGCGTTTATCATATTTCGTTCCCGTCGCCATCATCGATGATGTTATTATGATTATATGAATTATATGATATTATGACTATTAATACATAATACAGTCATTACATATTATTAGTACAACCAGTCCTACGTGTACTTATGGTGTGCGTTTCGTTTTTGCAGCATTGTCGTTCGCGTCGTCCAGCAGAGACTTCGACCCGAGAACAAGGCCGTTTTCCGACGAAGAATTGAAGCCGCAGCCAATGGTAAAGAAATCAAGGAAACAGGTGAGAAGGGCCTCGTTAACTTGATTGGTTTATTATTGTCATTACAACGCGAACTTACTCGCGGCTCTATTGACATCCCATATTGACCATAATTTTTCATTAGTTTGTACCGGATGGGCTGAAAGATGAGAAATACTGGGCAAGACGTAGAAAAAACAACATGGCGGCAAAGCGATCGAGAGACGCGAGACGAATGAAAGAGAACCAAATTGCATTGAGAGCAGGGTTTTTAGAAAAAGAGGTATTTAACTCGTACAATGGGACGAATATTTTTAAGAGAATATCAATAAAGCTTATAAACTGCAATGGGTAAACCCATTAAAATAGGGGAGGTCCCATAGGTGTAATTCAAAACGAAATCCGGTATTTAAAATAAAATCTAAACAAAACCGCTTAATCTTACCCAGCCTATTTCATCGTATATATAGGTTTATTTTCAGTAGAACAATGTTAAAACTATATGAAAATCACTAAAAAAATATGGGCCTATTGCTCGTCATATTAAAACTCGAGTGACCACAATTCAGTCCGATGGAAATAAGTATTATTAAAATGATTATACAAAGTTCTATTTCATTAATAAATGCATTAATGATTAATTAATCATGTTACGTCACATTATACTTCATTTAATAATTTATCATCGATAAATATTAATTTATTTCCAATCTTGTAATTTAACACAACGCGTGTGTACGGTGTACCTATAAAAAAAGGTATTTTAACGATCGAATACTTACATATTTTTTATTCATCATAAGGCTATTTTTAATTTTCGTGGTTATTACTTATTAGCTATTAATAGTTACGGTGAACTAATATTAGGATTTTGATAAAGAAGCCAAAATATAGGTGCACTATAAAACCTGCTATAATATAGTCGACTTCAAACCTGTGCAGATTTATCTAAACTTTATATTTAAATTTCTGGGTGTAGAAATTTTGTGCGAAACGCAATACGTATAATACCTTTGCTTTACTAACAAAAAAACAAACAGATTATTAATATTAAATAATAAAATACGGATTCTTGTACATTACAGAACATGGGCCTTCGACAAGAGATGGAACGTTTAAAGAAAGAAAATTTAGCACTCCGAGATCGTCTTTCAAAGTTCGAGATCTAGAATATTTCCCGTGGATTTGTATGCACCATAATACCCTTACCCTCTGTGTTTTTGAAAAAAAGAAATACCTTACCCAAATTGTCGTTACTATTTATCGCACCGTTGACCGTCAGCTCGTTAATAAACACTCACTCTTCCAACGCACCGCGGTGGTCGCCTATAAGGAGTCGTGTATAGAAATGAGTTATATTATAATTAATACGTTGTAGCTTATAAAACATAAAAATGCATATAATCATATATATGTATACAATAATATATAATAAATATTATTGTTATAACGCAACTGATCTCAATTCCAAATACGAAAGAAATTCCACATTCAATATTATCAAACAATTTATTTATCGTACCTCAGCCGATTCTCAGGAAGAAAACTAATTTGTCAATACAACAGCACTGGATTCAAAATAATATGATATAAAACAAAGTTAATTTTTCCGAGTTTAAACTTACAATAGCATTTAAGTCGATGTACATGGTTTTTGTTGTTCTGTACATAAAATAGGTCTACAATTATTAAATTATTAATTATATTATTATTATTTTATTATTATTATTTTTATTATTATTATTATTATTATAAATCGTCCTATTTATATGTTTTTATAAAAATGAAATGCGTGTTAACCTGACATATTATATTAATATAGTCTTGATAAGTATAAAAAAATATTATAAACGTAAAAAAAATAATTCATTGGTACAAGATAAGACTTTATAATATATATATAATACTATATTATATTATAATGCTAATTAAGAAAAAAAAACAGAATTTATTTTCGATTTATTCTCATTTTTTTTTTTTTGCATTGGTCATTATTATGTATTGAGAATTGACCCTTCTAGATGCAATTTATTTCATAACATTGTTTATATACTGTAGTGGACGATATGATTTCTTTAGTGAAGTTTTGAGGGATCTGTTTTCGTTTTACATCTATATCGTTGCGTGGGGATTTGTTTTATTTATTTATGCTTCCAATATTGTATAACATGTCAATTAATTCATAAGATCATCACAAATTAATTATTAATTGTTTTATTTTAATATGTATAGATTTCTTAAATATATTATATATTATATAATTATCCTTCCTCCTCATTATGATTGACGAGCGTTTTTAATATGTTTAGTTTTACCATTATTATTTAATTGTTTGATTAGATACTTATCTTTTTCTTTATTATTATTTTTAGCAGTTAAGTGTTGATTTTTAAAAATGTTTATTTGTAGACATTTAAATGATTATTGACAGCTCGCTTATTGTTTTATAGGATTATTTAATTAGGCTTTAGAAAATTAAGGTATTTGTTCTAAGGATCATATTTGATATTTTGTGAATAGTTACTTTTTTTTATAATACTTTAATAATATAATACCTAATTGTAATTTTGTTTGAGAAAACAAACGTATGGGTCAGGGCTGCTGTAAGATTTTCTTTTTTTTTCTTTTTTATATATATATGAACTTCATATATACATAACATTGTTGTCAAATTATAATTATTTCCAAAAATGTTATTGTTTTGCATGAATATTGAATATACACGAAATGACCATTAGCTTATCATGTTATTGATTTTAATAATATATACCTTCACTATTAGTTTAAAAAAGTATTTAAATTTTTTTCAATCATAAAATCTTAGTTGAATTAATTTTTTATGATGTGTACGACTGTATATATGTTGTACTCTATAATTGGACACTATTGGTTCCCGCGGAGTTACCAGCAATGGTGAAAATTGAAAACCAATTGTTGCATGCCAACATATTTATACACAGAATACCTTTCCTTGACCAGCAAACAGCAGCCGCCAACCTTTGAGACTTCACAGGCCAACAATATAGTGATAAGTTCATGGCATTAAATTCCAAGGATCACATCTTAAAATAATAATAATATGAATCTTTTTAAAGAGATAATAAATTGAAGATAATACATTTCTGTTGCTGGACGCTCCTCGACCACTCGGTGCTTAATAATAGCTATAGCCTTCTTATATGCGAATAGTATATAATATATTTCATATTTACATAATATATTACTAAATTCCCAATATTGCGAATTTGGTAAAAAAAAAAAAAAATTCCCATATTCCCATATAAGGGCATGTTATGATAATATCGTAGGTAGGTACTCCTTATTATCGCAGCAGCATAATTATGATTATCATTTTTGATTAATATTAATATAATATTATAACATAATTACGATATCAATAACCTATATGTACAAAATTCTTAAGTTTCACAGGTTAGGTTAGGTACCTACACAATGATTATTTTTCTAAATCGTTCGTGAATATTTTACTGCAATTTTATTTGCGTAAAATGCGATTGAAAAAATAATTAATGCTTTAACATTTTTCTATATAAGAAAATTATATGTAATGTGGGTAGGTTTCGCGCACTTGGTGATCGCCGTCGACTGTCGCGATCAACCTATAACTACGAGCTAGGGCACTGCCAGAACCACATCAACGACAATCGACAAATAAGTAACTGGGTATGTCCAGATTTTTCTATAGACCAAAAGTTTCAAAACTTGCGGTTCGTCAAGCTCATTACTGATGTTTTGATTTTGATTTCTGACCTTCGAGATCTCCTAGTTATATAATAATATGTAGGTACCTAGTAGGTATATCCGAACATGAATTATTGTGAGGAAATCAGAAAATATATTATTTTTCCTTTTCAAAGTCATGTAGAGATAAAATTCTTCTCTCATAGGCGGACATCGGGGGGGGGGGCTTAGCCCCTCTAAATATTTAATAGCCCCCAAAAATCGAAACTTAATTTGAATGTCATTCGTTGTTTTCATATTATGTATCGTTTTGTTATGCATCATTATTAGTTTAACACATCTATCACATAAAACTAGTTTTGAAAATGTGTGGAGAAATGGCCTTTTCGAAATGACCGATTCAATTTACCATGCGGGAACGAGCATATTCGATAGACGATGTGTTATCACTTCTTATCGATATGTCGAGCGTCGGCTCGCGGGATCACGACCGTTGTTGTTGTGACGTTATTTTAATATAGAAGATGTTATAAGAGTTTTGTCCGAAAACAAAACCATATTCCCTATTTGCAAAAACTATTTACCATAGCAATATAGCATTAACAATACCCATCAGTTCGGCTACTTGCAAAAGAAGTTTCAGTGCAATGAGAAAAATAAAAACTTGGCTAAGGACATCCATGCTTCAGGATAGGTTCAGCGATCTTTCTATTCTATATATTGAAAAAGATATGTCCAAAAATATAAATAGCAATGATATTTTGAATATATTTGCTGCTATAAATAGGTATTTGTTATTAAAATAAAATATTAACTATTAAGTGTTCTTAATTTTTATTACAATATTCATATTTGTATTAGTAATATATTACACTTGTGCATGGGAAGGGGGTGCGGGGGTGAAGCCCCTGCGGGTCACTTTACATTGGATTATTATAGCCCCCCTAAAAATTCAACCAAATGTCCGCCTATGTCTTCTCTTCTTTCAATCTTATTACATTTCTTAGTTTCTTATCTTCTCCCAAACAACTGGCCGACGATACGTACCTATCACAGATTCGGTCCGCCGCCCTAAAAAATTATACCTATATGTCTAAGTTAGTCCAAACATAATTAAGTCATTGCGTAAGACGGCTACAGTCATGTCTTAAGGAAATTAATATAGGCAATTTAACATGACATTAAAGTGACTTGTAAAGTAACACAAGCGCACAGAGTAAACGTACATAAGTGTGTGTGAGTCTAATCTGTAATCATTTTCAGTCATTATTTCCTAGAAATGTCCTGAATTATACAGTAGGCCCTCATAATACCACCGGTAGGTCGGTCATCATTTATATATTATATTTTGTATATTCGTCGTCAATCAACTTAAGTACGCGCAGGCATTGACAATGATATTTAATTAGATACCTAAGCCTTTAAAAAATGGCTGTTTGACTAAAAAGCCAGACAAAACTGACGGAATAAGGTTTGACCGATTTAATTATTTTAAACTGATTTTAATTGATTAACAAATTTACAAGGTTGTCATTGAGTCGATTTTGAATATCTATTTTTTTCAGCTGTGATGTCTATGAATAAAAATATGATATTTCTTAATTATATTATTCACCATGGATGGCACTAACAATATTCGGAATATTAAAAATCGCCTCTATTCAAACCCAGTAAACTTGTTAATCAATCAGGGGATCCAGGGGGTACACCTACCTGAATTTTCATCATTGACTGAATAACATATAATATTATATACCTACGGGCTACGAGGTACCAGCACAAATTCAAAATATACTTATATTATAAGTCTATGACCAGCACGGCAGCACGACATAAACATCTTATGTGTTATAAACATTAAAGCATATTTTAGCCTAAACGTTGTCACAACTAGTAGCCAGTAGCTACAGTTAGATGTTTTAAAATGGGTACCCTGTACCAGTTAGGAACTTAGGTTATCAACGTTCGGCGATAAGAAAACTCTCAGATTACCTCTGCAAAAATAAATAAATACATATAAGTAATCTGCTGGTACATATATACGAATGGCAATCGTAAAGTAATAAAATATTGCATTAACTCAACATAAACACCATTTTAAAGAGGATTTTTATTTGTTTTCTCTCACAGGTCAAGGCGTAACACAGATAAATCGCGTGTTGGTAAAATCGTTTTTTTTTTATGATTTTTGAGTAATCCAAGATTAAAATCACCTATTACCTACGAAAAATGTAGAGAATTATATTTTTTGGGGTTTGACATAATATCGGTTTTATACTTTACTACCTATTATTTTACTTAAACAAATAGGTAAGGGAGGCAAGTGGGGGTACCGCTACGGCGCTACCCACAGTTGTATATAGGTGTCAAATGGATCTGTTATGGGTGTTTAATTTTAATTCAATAATAATATATTATTGCATGCGAAAAACGATTCTGAGCGGAGACTGTCAGCCTTGGATCTTAT